CTTATGGATCCCGCACACTAACACCTGCCGAACAGAATTATCATTATCACTCAGGCAAGATTGAGTTCCTTGCACTCAAAGGGGCGATCAGTGAGAAGTTTCAAGACTACTTGTATTACTCCCCACCCTTCGCGGTTTACACAGACAACAATCCTCTGACGTATGTTCTGTCATCGGCTCGTCTGAATGCAACAGGTCAACGATGGGTTGCCAAATTTGTGGACTTTCATTTCACCATTAAGTACCGCCCAGGAAAGAACAACGCCGATGCTGACACTCTGTCGAGGCTTCCACTTGACATGGATCACTACACGAAGGACTGTACCAGGGAAGTCTCCAGGGACGACATTGATGCCACGATTGAAGCTATAGAGGCCCAGGGAAATGGCGACACAGTCTGGACTACTGCAGTATCTGCCCAGGTGGAGCTCCAAAGCGTGCCTCCTCCATCTTCCGACAGCGTCCTGTTAACCAAGGATGATGTCCAGCGGGCACAGAGTGAAGATCCGTATGTAGCTAAGGCAATAAACTACCTTCAGAAGGGGCATCGACCCACGAAAACGATGATGGCTAAAGACCTACCAGACACTGTTGCCCTACTTCGTGAGTGGAAACATCTGGAGCTAGACAAGGGAGTACTCTACCGCCGGATCAACGGGGTCATTTGGGTTCTGGACGAGTCCTCCAGCTCATCAGGGATCGATTCTTCTGGCCTCACATGAAGCGAGATGTGGAGCACTACTGTACTCGAGTCTGCAGGTGTCTAAAGGACAAGCCCCCTGCTCGCTATAACAAAGAGTCCTTGGGCACTATCACCACAACTGCCCCCTTTGAAGTTGTCTCCGTCGACTTTCTGCGCCTGGAACGCAGCAAGGGTGGGTTCGAGTACATCCTGGTGCTAATTGACAACTTCACACAGTTCGCCGTTGCTTACGCTACCCGAGATAAGTCTGCGAAGACCGTAGCAGATAAAATCTTCAATGATTTTATTCCTCGGTTTGGCTACCCATCAAAGATCCACCACGACCAGGGAGGAGAGTTTGAGAACAAGCTTTTCCGGAGACTACAAGAGCTGGCAGGGATCAGGATTTCCAGAACCACCCCATACCATCCCGAAGGGAATGGTCAGTGTGAGAGGCTAAACAGAACGCTACTAGGGATGCTAAGGACCCTAACAGAGGAACAAAAGTCTAACTGGAAAGACTCACTGCAGAAGGTTGTGCATGCCTACAACTGCACTAGCAACACAGCAACCGGGTTCTCTCCCTTTTTCCTGTTATACGGCAGATCACCTCGATTGCCCATAGACATCGCATTTGGGTTGGATCGACAAGAAGGTCCCGCAGCTGAAGATCATAACCTCTTCGTGAGCCGCTGGAAGACACAGATGAAAGAGGCTTATGCCCTGGCAGCCCGCAACTCAGCAAAGTCCAGTGATCGAAATAAAAGATATCATGAGCTGAAGGTCCATAGCTCTGTCCTTCAGCCTGGTGACAGAGTGCTTGTCCGCAACTTAAGACGCCATCCAGGTCCAGGCAAACTGCGGTCATACTGGGAGGATGAAGTATATGTGGTGAAACGGCGGAGAGGGGAGGATTCTCCGGTCTACGAGGTGATGGCTGAGCAAGGTAGTACCAAATCCCGGGTCATCCACCGCAACCTCCTCTTGCCCTGTGACAGTCTGCAACAGGAGGATGCCCCCCAGCAGACTCCTCAACCAGCACGAACAAAGAGAGCCCGGAAACGGCCACCTGACCCACACCAGCGCTTTGATGATGCCGATGAGAGTTCTGATGATGAGCCCAACCTGGTGATGGTCACTCCGACAGGTCAGCTAGATCAAGCTGATGTCAACCAGGAACTCAATCCAGAAGCTGCGCCCTTTGTTCGGGCCCCAACCGAGCTTGATGTGGCTACGCCACATGATCCAGCTGGTCTTGACTCTGCAACACACGATGCAGCTCCTGACAGTGACCATGCAGTTCCAGACATCCAGCCAACAACTACGCTACAGCCAGAAAACCCTGACACCACAGCAGATGATGCTACCCCTTCCACTGAGGGCCTTGCCGATCCTGAGGACTACACCCACCCGGAGGTCCAAGAAAGACCAACACGCAATCGGCATCCACCCAGAATATTTGAGTATGTCCAGCTCGGAATTCGGGCTACTCACAGCATGCACCCACGGGTAGATGCAGTTTCACTTATTCCACCACAGATGTACCCCATGCAGGCACCGAACCCCCCTGTTCCTGTTATGTCGATGTGGGTCAACCCATACAGTCATCAAGCTCCGCCATTGATGCCCACAACGTGGATGAGGAACTACCCGTACGCACCACCTTGGACCATCCCTGGAGTACAGTAATGCTGTTCAGTTTCCAGATCTATGAACACCCCCATAGCTGAGACCAGTGAAGAGGAGAAACCACTGCGCAGTGTGTAGAAGGACCGTGAGCTGCCACTCCTGGGTACCTCTGTGTGAGTACAGAACCACCGAGGTGCCATGCTGTGATGCTGGGTCCAAGGATTCCTAGCTTCATTGGTATCTTCATCCAATGTTCCACGGAACACTAGTTCTTGTCCATTCTACCAGGGTTCCGCAGACCCAGAGAGATGAGCACGATGGACGTCATGACCCCATCAACTTCTCCCTCTACCATGTTGCTGCGTGGGAAGGAACCAGCAAGCAACTGCAGAGCCGCCAGCTCTAGGAATGGACGCTAATGAACTGTTCCTTGGATGAACTGTCTAATCTGAGGTGACTGTTTTGTTATTTATGGCCAAATGTTAGGGACAACCTTTCTTTTTGCAGGGGAGAGTGTAGAGGATAGAGAAATTAGGCACCCCCCCAAAATTGAAATGGACCAGTCCTAAAGTTACTTAGTGGCCCTACCCCTGGACTTATGGTAGAACCCAAAGGACAGGATGTTTGCTTTGTTGACTGTGCTGGTCACTTAAGGCAGACGATTGCTTAAGTGAACACCACAATCAGCAAGTGTCCTTTTCTGCCCTTTGTCCACAGTCAAAGATATTGATTCCAGTTTTATCTACTGACACCCCCCCACGGGGGTACTACAAATAGTCCAACAAAACACACACAGAAAGACCGTCTTTGCTACAGAACCTTCTAACATTTTAATTCTCACAGAAAAATGGTCACTGGGTGCAGTCGAATGGCTCCTTTGTTAAAAGTCTATTAGAGGCAAATAGATTACCACAAAAGTTTGGTTTATCACATGCTTATGCACCATCTTGGACCTTGCACCGTCACAGCCCAAAGTTGGCCAGATACAGGATTGTAAATTTTGAGAGTCTCTGCTTTTTTATCCTTGAGAAAATGACACCAGATTTGACCTGATAAAAATAGTAATATTATGCTTAAATGTGTACGGATGAATTCTTGTTAAAACTAAGCAGTTTTTCTGGTCTACTCTATTCGTTTAAAAAATATTATATGCATTTAAACAACAAAACACAGCCTTTCATAGACCAGTGGGGTTCCTCTTTTGTTCTTTTAACACGGCTTTTCCCTGTTCCTATTGTATTCTGTTTCCCCACAAGGAACTTTGTACAAGAACATAAACATACAGCCAAACCAAACAGAGCAAGGCCAAAGTTTTGAAATCTTGTGACAGGATTTTTGACATTTTTTAAAAACATATTCTTTTGCATTTTTCACCTTTTATTGTATTAAGTAATGTTTCATTCATTAGATTGACTCTGTACATGCACAAGCAACAGGTGGAGAGACTCTTCTAAGCATTAACTCATGAATAATCAACTAGGTAACCACAGGCCACTTCCTGTGGAACTTTCTTTTGGTCCATTTGGCTCATCTCGCCACATCATTTTTCTAATAGTCCTCAGCCCATATGTAAAAAGTTTCTTTGAGGATCTTTGGCTACTGTAAGGCTCCCCCCAAAAGTCTACGGTTTCCGGTCAGCACGCATGTCACCGTAGACCTGTGCATCAACAAATAAAAAAAAATTTATTTGGTATACAATGATGTCCACAAGCTGCCAAGCTTGCTTAATTGATTAAAATCTTGCTACTGCATAATTTTAATGTGTTTTTGATGGGGTATGGTATAGTAATAAATATATACTGTAAAGGAGTCCCTGTAGTTCCCCACACATTTAGTTGGGCACACTCTTTTTCAGATGACGTCGTCTCTGTGTTATGGAAACCAAGGTGGTCTTATGTCCTCTGTACATGTACAAGCTGCAAATGCTTTTAAACAGTAAAAAGTTCAGGGGCCAGTCTATTTTAGTGTTGGTAGTAGCTGACATTTAATATGTATGCATGCAGTCATGATTTACATCGCGAGTTATATGTACATCATTTCCAGAAAAAAGGTCAGGGTACCAAAAAAAAAAACCAAAACATGTCGCCGACCACTTTTGGAGCCAGCTCCTGACCATAAGCCGGAGACTGTTGGGTGGGGGCCTAACCAACCCTGTTATATAAATTATACATTCTGAGTGCATAAATACATAAACTGTAGCCACTGGAAAAGAACATTTTGCAGTCACACTCTTATGTCTACTATGAAGCAATCTATCGACTGACCTACTGACCTGATTTGTGTATTGGTGCACATTCGTTTGTGTCAGCATTTGCACCCCAATGTGAGTGCTGCACCTTTTTAATGCATATGCTATTAATACATTTACAGCTCAATTGAAGCATGTAGCATTTGCACATCAAAGTGCAGTATGTGGTTGTGATATAACATTGAAATTAAATCAGAAATAATTAAAAAATCAAATATCCTACAAAGAGTTGAACAATGAGTTATTGACCATTATAGAAATGACAAACATATCGACAATATCTAAGGTGACTGGGCACAAAGCCAATAACATCAACGTTACAAATCTGTCTGCTATCCCAACTTTAGGAGTCAAGTGGCCCTGAAGAGAAGGGATTGGATAACAGTTGGTAAGTACTCATCTCCACAATAAATTGTTTTAACATTAACATTCAGACCTACTTTTAAAACATCGTTAATAACTGAACAGTTTCTTGAGAACTGTTTGGTCTTTCTCTTGAAGTTGACGTATGGCCGTGACAAGAAGTGATGGTCCATCTAGTAGTGAAAACAATAAAAACACAAACATTTCAACATGCGATCCTTTTTACTTACATATTAACTGAATACATTTTTAAGTGCTATATTTAACAAAATTAGCTGCTTCATTTCATAAAATAATTTTGAGCTGAAATCCTTGTTCTGGGTCAATCTATAACTGCCATACACACCACAGCACCAAGGAATCCCATACACATCTACCCACAAACACTCTTATGTGGGGACACGTGCATGCTGCACTCATTTTTGCAACTATTTTGTGGGGACTGGAAATGCCATGGGGGCAAACTGTCCCTAGAACTCGGTCCAGAATTTCCTCACAGAAATTTCCCCTTTAACCCCAAGGAGGCCTACTTCTGCCCCCCCCCAAAAAAAACAACATTCCCAGTGCCCCCTTAAAAAATGGATGCATGGATACTGTGGCGATGCGACAGAAACCTCTCATGGCAGACCAGTAGACTGGCCTGATCGAAGATGGAATTGACCTGGCCTGACCCAACAAATATATTAACCTTGCGCAAGGTTGAGTGGCTACCCTGACACAAGGGGGGATATCAGCTAACAAACAACGGACTAAGCCTAGGAGCAGTTCGTTTGGTGGAAAAGTACCACCACTTAGGAAAGACATATCAATACTAGTATCAGAGCAGGAAATACAGGGAAACCTTATTAAACCTCACAGTGACACAGGATTTCCAAGGACAGTATCAAGTAATTGATTTATTACAATATAAATCAACGAGGCATATCAACAGAAAGTTTATTTATACAATACACCTCACAAGGCAATTCAATACACCTCACGTGGTAAACCTAATCACATGGCAACTCTTACATAAGCCAGACTATTGCCAATGATACACACTACTAACAAGCAGTGATAATCTATGTGGAGAGTTAATCAAACAAGGGATAATAACCCTCACTACCCAGGGTCGATTCATCCAAGGGATAATAACCCTTACAGGAACCGGGGCACTCCCAGTAACTCTCAAGGCAAGCCAGTTCAATGATACCTGGATCGCAACCCAGCCGTCACCCCATCAACGGAGTTCACAGATGGCAAGCAATCCATAACGAATCACTGTACCACTAGCTCTCAGCCAAGGGCTAACACCTTACACTCTAGACAGTTTCAAATCTAACCAAGACCCAATAAACAGTTTACTACTACATGTACTGCTCCACCTACCAGTCGATACAACGCAGTGCTCTTCATCAAGCCCAGAAGATCAAAACGACATCCAGGACTATGAAATGGTACCTTGAACAGGACTATGCCCAGATCCATGTGACAAAATTTTCATGACATCAATTCCCCATACTGTTAATATCACAAGATATCATTACATGCTGAATGGTGACTGCAATCTGTTTATGTGATGTAAGAGCAGTGGCAACATTGTGGGGCCAATTTTAATTGAAGGAATGCCAGCTTCTTGGATGTCCAAGCAATCAGTATGCTTGGTGACTTGACATCTAAAAGATGTCCTCTATCACAACAGATGGGAAGCTGCAACTACATGTACACAAGTGTCTACATGTACTTCTCAGCATACCTAGCAGATGACACCTACCTGAAGGCTTATATCTTAAGATGGTTGATATGGGTAGTTACTGTAATGGAAGCCACAGGATTTATCTTGTGCCTTCTTAAAAACAGTTATTCACCTTGAAGGCTTTTTTGCATGTGTAGACACTCACCAATCACCTATTGAGGAACTTTCCATAAAGTAACCACATGAGGAATAAGAATAAGAATGGAACATCATTTGTTTGTTAAAAAATGATAAGCCGCCTGGTCTACACATCAATTAAATCTTGAGCTTTGTAAGTTAAATTGTCTACAGCACCGTGATGTGCCACACAGCATGATGATGGGGAGTTGAACATCATAGTTCAATTTATTACTGTAGGGATCTGGGAATTCCCCATTAATTTAGCGAATTGTGTGACCTTTG